AAACTAGCGACCACGTTAGCACCCTTGAAACATTTTACATTCCTTGTCTTCCACAACCCCCACATAGTCACAATGAACAGAACACTACGGGTACCAAGCTTACCATCCTCTCTATAATAGAGCAGGATATAGTTCTGGATCCATTTCCTCAAAGAGTCGGACCTAGGAGAGTCAGGGCAAATTAGCAGGGAACCATTCTCCCAGACTTCCTTTGCCAGATTATAGAATCGAAAGAGGTGTTGGCTATCTTCCATTTCCACCCCACAAAAATCACAAGTCTCATTGACTTGTTCTCCTCTTCTAGCTAAATAGACTTTAAGTGCAGTGGCATCATGAAAAAGCCTCCATAAGAAAATCTTCCATTTTGGTTGAATATTCATTCTCCAAACCAACTTCACAAATTCTTGATCCCTTGTAGAGAAGGAGAATCTTTCTTTTGAAAGGTAATGGTACCCCGTTTTAACCGTATATCTCCCTGATGGGTAATATTTCCAGTAGAGGAAGTCATCCTCTCTTGAATGAGGTAACTCCATTGACATAATTGACTTTGCATTATTCCAGTCAAAACAATCCCTCATCTTTCCCGCATTCCAAGTGGTCGTTTCTTCATCAATAAAATCCTTCACTCTCCACCTCAAGGACAACCCCAATGTTTGATTTAAGTTTGCAATTGGGACTTCCCCTTTAACCCAAGGCATACTAACAACCTTAATATCCCTTCCATTACCTACTTTCCATGCAATTCCTTCCTTGAAAGTCTGAGTGACTTTCTGTAGGCTTGTCCCCCCCATTGATGGGTTCCCCATCCTCACGTAGGGTCTAGCCATATTTCAAATACCACATGGTTGGAACTCTTTATGCACTCTTGAAACCAGAAGTTGTGGATTGAGGTGCATCCTTGTTGATTGCTGGAATAGGAGGGCATCATTAAGAATTGATGACCCTCGAATCCCGAGACCACCCATACTTTTAGGGGTTTGAATAATAGCCCTACTTACCCAGTGCATACCTTTATTCCCATTGTTAGACCACCAGAACCGAGTAACAAGCGAATCAATTTTGTTGGCAATACTTTGAGGCAGTTTAATGCACTTCATGACATGTGCCGAGATGCTTACCAAAACCATGTTGATAAGAATTAATTTTGTCGCTTGAGAGAGACGTAGCAAAGCCCAAGAAAAAATTTTCTCCGAGACTTTATCAACTAGGTATTGGAATGTCGAACTTTTCTTCCCCTGAATATCTATTGGAGCTCCCAGATGAGTTCCCAAATTCTCAGTTTATAACATAGAAAGGATCCGTTTCATAGCTAACCTTGTGTTGTTGTCAAATCCTGGTGAAAATTTCACAAAAGACTTCTGGAGGTTCAATTGTTGACCTAAAGCTTTACCAAACATGTGAAGTATGTCAGTAATGCACAGGCATGACTCCTCATTAGCTTTGAAGAAAAGTATTGCATCATCTACAAAAAACAGATGAGAAATGGAAGGAGACCTTCATGAGACTTTCAATCCCTTGAATTGGTTATTATCCTCTGCCAGCGTCAGCATTCTTGAGAGGATATCCAAGATAAAGAGATATGGGGAAAAAAGGTCTCCTTTTCTCAACCCACACTTACAGGAGAAGTGTTCTGTGGTTTTCCCGTTGACTACAGCCTTGAAACTAACTGTTGAGATACATTGCAAGACCATCCTGATCTAGTGACTGGAGAAACCATAGGCCTGTAAGACCTTCAATAGAAAGAGCCAGTCCACTCTGTCATATGCCTTAGACATATCAATCTTAACCGCAGTGAAATTCGAGCCTTTCCTCGAATTGATAAGATGCATGAGCTCGTGGCTCAACAGGATATTATCCTCCATATACCTCCCTGGAATGAAAGCATGCTGATTTTCAGAAATAAGCCTCGGGAGAGCTGTCTTTAACCTATTGACAAGGCACTTGGAGATGCATTTATAGACTGTGTTGCACAAGCTGATCGGCCTAAATTGGTTAGCAAGTTATGGTACTTTAACCTTTGGGATCAATACCAGTAACGACTGGTTCCATTCTTTGAGCATGTTTTCGGTTCTCAGAAATTGATGGACACTATCCACCACTTGTCCTCTCACCTCATTCCAGTAAGTCTAGAAAAAGTCAATTGTGAACCCATCCGGCCCCAGGGATTTAGAACCATGCATATTGAACATTGCTTTTTTGATTTCCATATATGTGAAGGGTCGATCAAGCCCTATCCTTTCCTCCATTGAGAGTTGGGGGATATCCAGTTGTCGAAGTAAGAGATCGATATCCTCCCCATGATTATCCAGAATGGTAGGGTTATAGATCCCCTTAATAGAGGTTAGGATCACCTTCTCTACCTCCTTTTGCCCTTCCACTGCACCCAGGCGTTATTATCATTCCGTAGAGTTAAAATCTCATTGTGCAGTTGTCGTTGCTTTACCTTCCTGTACATTGTTGGAGTAGGGCAATCCCCAAATCTAACCCAGTTTGACTTCATTCTTTGCTTCCAAAAGTCGAAGCAAAGGTAGCTCTCTGGGATAATAAGATTTATATGTTGGATGTAGCTTTCCCCTTGTTGAATCGAATTAAAATTAGTAGCCATATCTTGTAGACCTTTTTCTGTTTCCTCCGGTTGATCCCCCAAAGCTTCTTATTTTCCAAACACCAATATTGAAGCTTTAACCTTAACCTGTTAAGTTTTTGTCATACTTATTGCAAAAAAAAATAAATAAATAAATAAATAAATAAATAAATAAATAAAAATAAAAAGAAATTCTTAAAATGTGGTTATTATTTGTTCCAAAAGAAGAGTAATCAAAGAACGGATTGATATGAACATTACTGTGTGTTTGGTGATATTCTTTGATTTTGTTATAATCGGTGAATTTGCGTGTCCACCAATATAATTTGAGCTTATAATACTCCTTGATTTTACTTCCAACAATATAACATTTTGAGTTTTGTATTATATTCTATAAAATTCTTGATTAGATTAATATTCTTACATAGTTAATATTAGTATAGTATTTTGTTTGATTTTATTTTATTCTATTATTGTTTTATTTATTTTTGGAAGAATGTAGATATGTTAATTTTACTATTATTTTTAAGGAAAATTTGTCAAGAATAAGTCAACCTTTACGCGATTAGCTCAAAATAAGCCAATCTTTTAATTAATTAAAAATAAGTTGATTTTTAATAGGTACTTTCCTTTAATATATAGGTCAAATGACCTATAACCTACCAAACAAGTTATGTTCTCTCTTTTTTTATTAAAAAAATAATAATTTACTAAAAAAAATTTAAAAGAAAAAACCAAAAAAAAAAAAAAAAAAAAAACACCTAACCCCATTACATACCAGCCCCCCACCCCTCCGCCACCACACTCCACAATCTTTTCTTTCTCTCCCCTTCCACCGTCAGCCCTCCCTCACCCCTGAGCCATTTCGATCTCTTCCCCTTCCCTAGACGCCCACCAACCCCTTTCTCTACCTCCTCTCTTAACGTCGCCCTTGGCTGAGCAAAACCCACCTGAAAACCACCATCCCCACCTTGAATCCCTACCCTAATCCTCTAAAATATCTACATATCTACCCGAAAACCCACTACCTAACCACTGAAACCCAACCCTAACCACCGAAACCCACCCCTTAACCACCGAAAACCCACCCCACACCCCAAATCAACCCAACCTGAAAAGCTTTAAAAGAGAGAGAGAGAGAGAGAGAGAGAGAGATGGGCGACGAGTAGAGGCGGTGGTGGGAAGGGGAAGAAGAGAAAGGGGTTATCGACAGTGGCTAAGGGGTTATTGGAGGTGACCAGCGAGGGGTGGGGTGGGGGGCTGTTCTATGGTAGGGGGAATGAAGGGGATTAAAAAAATTAATTAAAAATTAATTTTGTTTAAAATTTTAAAATGTATGATTTTATAAACCAATAACATTAAAACACGTGACATACTTAACCTAAGCAACCGGTTACCCCCAAAAATAACCAGGTCATAACTCATTTTAGGAAGATATATAAAGATCGACTTATTTTTTGTTAGTCAAAAGATTGACTTATTTTGAGCTAACCACACAAAGGTTAGCTGCGCTTATTTTTGACAAAATTTCCTATCTTTAATTAAGTGTAGTTTTTTTATGGAGGTCTTATTATTTTTGCATATTCTAAAAGGTAATAAAATTTTAGAAATTGGCTTGATTTGACAGATATTCTTAAAGGCTTGTAGGGGCACACAATTTGGAAAGTTCAAAATTGGACACTAACTTTTCACTCCCCCTCCCCCTCCCCTCTTAGCTTATATAATAGAGATGAGAGAGAGGGATAACTCAAGTGGTTAGAGCTTCCTTTCCGATTCCAGGAGATCATGGGATTGATTCTCATCACCCGTCCTTATGGCTCTCTAAACACCAATAAAAAAAAAAAAAAAATACCAAAAGGGGAAAAAAAACCTCACTTAAAAATTCCCTTAAGTATGACACATTCCCTACCCCTTAGAAATAAAATAGTTGGAATTAGACTCTTCTATTCTATTTTTATTCCCAAATTCCAATTCCAAACTCATTAAAAACAAATTTAAATAATTGTTCTTTAGGGATATCAAATTGTCGTTAGCATGTCCCCTAAAAAATAAAACACCCCATAACTAAATGAGCTTCACATTAATTTGCTTTATAGTTCAGAGACGTAGTTGAAAATCTGACGGTAATACTCTCTCATTTCTACACATGTTAATGTTTCATGGGAATGACATGCAAACAACCTTGGTGTGTGATTCATGCCTCATGGAGTCATGGTAAATTATGTCATGCTTTTTGCATTTCTTTGTAAAAAATAAAAAAAGTAGAACAAATAAAGGGGTGATTTGATTTGAATCATTTGATCATATAAAGGGGTGTTTAATAAACGACTTTTGACTTTTTTACATGGGCAGACAGTCAATGAAAGTGTTTGGTTTGGTGGATAAAATATTGATTTTTTTTCACCAAAAATAAAAGACTAGTCTTATTAGCACGTTTTTCGTACGGCTGGCCACATCGTGCGGCTGCTTGTAAAAAAACGGAGTAACCCCTGTTACATTGACAAAGTAACCCCCATTATAATAATAGAGTAACCCATTATTATACTTATTAAGTAATTAATCTTAAATAACAAAGTAATCCCTACAACACTAATGGAATAATGGTAAGATATATATATGTAATATTATGATTAGTCAAAGTGTATAATTAGTTACCTTAATTGTAGCCTAGATTAGGGGATTTGATAACTCTGTATATTGTATATATTGGAAGCTAAGCAATGAGAATACTCACGGAATATACTTCCTTCAAAAAAAAAAAAAAAAAAAATATATGTCTGCTCTTAAGCGGATAGTTCGGTATATACAGGGCACTCTTGCGTGTGGTTTGCATCTTTATCCATCATCTATTTCTACGCTTATATCATATACTGATGCTAATTGGGGTGGGTGTCCCGATACGAGACGCTCTACTTGCGGATATTGTGTATTTTTGGGTGATAACTTGATCTCTTGGTCATCAAAATGCCAAACAACTCTTTCTAAGTTTAGTGCTGAGGCAGAGTACAGGGGTGTTGCCAATGTAGTATCCGAATTGTGTTGGATTCGTAATCTATTATTAGAGTTACATTGTCCGATTGATAAGGCGACCTTGGTATATTGCGACAATGTGAGTGCCATTTATCTTTCTGATAATCCGATACAACATCAACGTACAAAGCATATAGAGATGGATATACTTTTTGTTCGAGAAAAGGTGGCCCGGGGTCATGTTCGTGTCCTCCATGTTCCATTTAGGCACCAAATTGCGGATATTTTTATGAAGGGCTTACCACGTGTGCTCTTCGAGGATTTTTGAGATAGTCTAAGCATCCGTAAGCCTCCCGCTTTGACTAGGGGGTGTGTTAAGATATATATGTAAATATTATGATTAGTCAAAGTGTATAATTAGTTACCTTAATTGTAGCCTAAATTAGGGGATTTGATAACTTTGTATATTGTATACTTCGTATATAGGAAGCTAAGCAATGAGAATACTCACGGAATATAATTCCTTCAAGTAATCCCTATATTAGTAACTAAGTAACCCCTATAACTGCAACAGAGTAAACCCTATAACACTAACCGAGTAACCCTATGATGGCTGGTCACACCATGTGGCCAACCATATATAAAAACTAGTGTATCCTTAAAGTTCATAGTCAAACAACCAACTAAAGTAACCAATTCTAATACATAGTTGGTCGAACTAGCCAAGTAAAACGACAATTAACAACCACTTGTCCATTGTAAAACACCACCAATGTGAATTTATAGTTTATGAGGGGGTGGTATAGCTAAGTTGTTAACCTGCATATTGCGAATTTCACTGCATAGACCAAGATTTGATTCTTGACCAAGTGAAAGGGAGTACTAAGAGGTTTGTATATTGATCTTCGACAAAGGGCTTATAACAAATTAGTGTACTAACCGGTTTGATTTATCTAACGTGTAACTACTTAATTTCTTATTAACTTGTCTTATTGTAGAGTAATCGATAGTAGGGGCTAATGTGATCTTTCTTAAGCTAACTTTTAATCAAAGAACACTTCATTCATTTTGATGTCAATTAGCTAACCTCTATGGTGTGACACATGACCTTATTTTTGGTTATGAAAGGACTTGGACTAAAACACATAAATATATGTTATTCTCAGATAGAGGTGTCCACCGTGCGAGTCGTGCGAGCTGGGTTAGGGTTAGGTGGGTCGCGGGTTGGGGTTTCATGACACACGGCACGACACACGTAGGGTAGGGTGGGCCGGGTCGTGGGTTGGGTCGGAGAAGTTGGACACACCAGGGTTAGGTTCGTGGGTTAGACGAGTCGTGGGTGGGTCGAGCTGGGTTTGTGGGTTAGACGGATCGTGGGTGGGTCGAGCTGGGTTTGTGGGTTAGACGGGTCATGGGTGGGTCGAGCTAGGTTCGTGGGTTAGACGGGTCAAGGTGGGTTAGTGAGTTAGGGTGGGTCGAAGGGTGGGTTAGTGGGTTAGGGTCGGGTGGGTTTGTGGGTTAGGTGGGTTAGGGTCGGGTGGGTTAGTGGGTTAGGGTCGGGTGGGTTTGTGGGTTAGGTGGGTTAGGGTCGGGTGGGTTTGTGGGTTAGGGTCGGGTGGGTTCGTGGGTTAGGGTCGGGTGGGTTGTGTGGTGTTTTAATTTTTACAAAATTAACAATTTGATGGCTTGCTCTTAATTAAGATGCCTACGTATCCTTATATTATAAAATAAGGAATCAAAGCCAGCGTAGTTCTTATATTGTACTTCTTTTGAAATTTGGGGGGGGGAGGCTTGGACCTATCTTTAGAAAACTAAAATTTAATTTTGCAATTAAATTGTAATTTTCGAAAAATAAGTTGCCTACGTATCCCGAAAGAATCAAAGCCCACGTAGTTCTTAGCGTACCTGATTTAGACTTTTCTAGCCACCCATGTTTGTTGCATCATCATCCCCGGAAGCTGCATCATCCGTTGACGACTCCAATATCATCACAGGATCATCTTCATCGTCTTCGTCTTCCTTTAAACCTTGAGTTCTTCTTTCAGCTTGATCCCAATCTTTCTTACAAACACAAATTTGAATGCTTTCCGGAGTTAAGCGAGATCTTTTTTCATCTAACACTCTTCTACCTGCACTAAAAGCAGACTCGGAAGCAACAGATGAAGCGGGAACTGCAAGTATATCTTTTGCAATTCTCGCCAATATAGGAAAACTTTTTTTATGTTCTTGCCACCATTTTATAATTTGAAAGTTGTTGTTGGTCTCATGTTGATATGACAAATAATCATTAATAGCAAGTGTTGAAGAAGATGATGATGAGAATGATGTAGATGCTTTGTGTTTTTTTTTTCATAACTTTATCAAGAAAACCAAATCTAGAATCGGAAGTGCTAGTAGTAGTTGGTGTTGCCAAATCAAAACCATAAATAGATGCATAATGATCATAAAGGTCTCCCAAAACAGATTTGCATTTGTTAATATATTCACTAACATCATAATCGATACTTAAACTTGTATAATAAAATTCTAAAAGATTTTCCAAACCTTCAGCTTTGACACCGGGGTCAAGAATAGCAGCCATTCCATAAATGATTGGAAATTCACTAAAATAAGTATGCCACTTACGTTTCATGCTATCAAGAACGGGACGAAGTCCATCAATCTTCATATGCTCTTCGATGGTGTGAACAACTTTAACACACTCAATTATGACTAAATGAACGTTAGGCTCATAAATATAAGAGAAAATATGAGTTGCACTATCAAAAGCATTTAAAACATCACGAACAAAAGAAGCATTAGTCCAATGACTTTCGGTTATTAACTCAGTAGGATCAACACGAGTCTCATTGTAAAGTTGGGTCAAAATATCACGATACTTTATAGCATCACTCAACAACTTGAAAGTAGAATTCCAACGGGTAGGGGTATCAATAGACCATTGTCTTTTCTTAAGACCTCTCTCTTTACACATAGCTATGTACTTTCTTCTAACTGACTGAGTAATCCTAATCCATTTTATAACTGTTCTAATTGGGTTTAGCAATGGTTGCAACTCAGCGAGACCCTCTTGAATAGACAAATTCAAAATATGAGCACAACATCTAACATGCAAGAGACTACCACCCAACAACAAATTCAACTCGGAGTCATTTTTCAAATAGTCAATACACTTTGTGTTTGAAGTTGCATTATCAAGAGACAAAGAAAAAACTTTATTATTCAAGTGAAATTCTTTTAAACAATCCAAAATACGAACTTTGATGTTAAAACCGGTATGCCTTTCTTCCATAGCTTGAAAACATAGTATACGTTTTTGAATAAACCAATCATCATCCACCCAATGAGCAGTAATGCAAAGAAAAGGTTCGCCAAAACTAGAAGTCCATGTATCACTTGTAAAACTAACACGACCATCAAAAGTACGAAATAATTCAATCAAACCACTCCTATACTTATAATAAGAAGTTTGTGTATAACGTCTTAGGGTATTTCGGGGGACACGAGTAAATGCAGGTTGTAATGCAACTTTATTAAAATGCTCAACGTTTGCATTTTCACCGTAACTAAAAGGGTATTCATTAGCAATAACTAAAGTACTCATTTCATCAATCATTCTATCTTTATTATAAATGAAAGGTGTACCTCCGCCGGGTTGGTTCATGTATCCACCCAATTGTGTTTGGACGCCACCCCCCGAAGGACGGGGGCCATTTTCGAACAAGTCGTGTTTATTTTGCAAATGCCGACTCAAGGTTCCGGTTCCATCTCCCGTTTTCCAATTATATGACTTGACATTTGCACCTAGCGCCTTGCAAACTAGGCATGTACACGTGAACCTCTTTGGTTGACCAGGTTGCCATCCCGGGGGTGTGACCTCAACTCGTTCAAAATGTTTCCACACCCAAGAAAAATGTGCTCGACCTCTACTTTCACCGCCACCACCTTTCATAAATCAAATTATTAAAATTAATTTTTAAATGCTATTCATGAAAATAAGCTTTTAAATTTTAAATATTTTAATTATACTTATTTAAACGCATTTTTCATGGTAATTAACTAATTGTAAATCATAGAAAATTGGAAACTAAACTAACTTTATAATCATTAATAATAGTTTTTTTAAATATTCATAACAATAAAAATTTAATTAGAAATTACCTTGAGATGAAGGTTGAGATGTTGGTTGCGATGGAGGTGGCATAGTTGAACTTGATGATTGGTGGGACTCGTGGGAGAAATGTTGTGGTGGAGACGTTTGAATATTTTGCCTATCTCCTAAACCATAATCTCCATATTCAGTGACAAATTGGTTTAAATTTTCCGTATTAATTTCATACGAAAAATTTGCACCACCACTCCTTTGGCTACCACTTCGACCACCACTTTGACTCCTTCCCATTCCTCCTCTTGAGCTCATTTTTTTTTTGTATGATTACTAATTATAATATGGAGAAGAACTTTTTTTTTTTAGAATCTTAAGAATACTAATAATAATATTAAGGAGATTTTTTTTAACAAAAATATAACTCTATATAACACTTGAGAATTTGAGAACAATAAGAATTTTTAAGTAAGAGAGAAAGAAAGCTTGAATTTGTGTGGAAATTTGAGTGAAATGGAATTGGTATTTATAGGAAAAATAGAATGGATGATCATACACTTAAAAAACTAGCCGTTAGATACAAAAAACTAGCCGTTAGATACAAAAAACTAGCCGTTTTTTTTTTTAAAATGGATGTTAGGCCGTGCGGGCCGTGCGGGTCGTGCGAATTGTGCGGGCTGTGCGGGCCGTGCGGGTTGTGCGGGCCGTGCGGGTTGGGTGGGTCATGCGTGCTGGTTGGGTGGGTCATGCGTGCGGGTTAGGTGGGTTGGCTCGTGCGGGTTGGGTGGGTCATTCGTGCGGGTGGGCCGTGCGGGCTGGGTTGTGCCAGGTGGGTCGGGTTAGGTGGGTTCACGGGCTAGGTGTGTCGAATTAAATGAGTCAAAACGGGTTGTGCGATTTGGGTCGAATCAAACGGGTTAAACTGAGCTGGGTTGAAATGGGTTGTGTCGAAAATTTTGGACCCACGACACAACCCGGATTAAATCCGAGCTGTGCCGGGCTGTGCCGGATTGAAACCGGGTCGGACCCACGTGACCCACCAGCCGTGCGAGTTAGGGTGGGCTGGGTCCAACCCGGCCCACTGGCCACCTCTATTCTCAGATATGAAAGGCACGTTCTACTAGTAGTAAATGGAATAATCAAGACTTAACATCCACATCTTGAAAAGGTATGGTCAAAATTTATATGGTTGTCCTCTTTCTCTACCTACACTTCATACTTTC